CGATGGCCTTGCAGCCTTTTCCAAAAACATCCCAGGGCCCAGTGGTGGGTGGAGAGAGCAGCAGAGGGTTGGGGGTGTGCACAGAAATGTGAAGGCAAAGCCATAACCTGCCTGAAATCAGCCTCGGAGGGATGGGGGGAAGGCAGAGCAGGGGACAAGTGCCGTGGGAATGGGGACAGAGAGCAAAGAGGCCTGGAGGAACACGAGGGTGGAGGAGGAAGGGCAGGGAGAGACCTCACAGGAAGCTGCAGGGACAGGCAGGGACTGGCTGGACCAGAAAAGGGACTGGTAGAGCCGGGTGGGGACTGGTGCAGACAGGTGGGGACTTGTAGGGACAGGCAGGGACAGGCAGGGACAGGTGGGGACCTGCAGGGCCAGTTGGGGACCGGCAGAACCAGGTGGGGACAAGCTGGGACAGGTGGGGACCGAACGGGGAGACGCTGGGACCTGCGGGGACAGGTGAGAACCGGCGGGGACAGGCGGGGACAGGCGGGGACAGGCGGGGACAAGCGGGGACAGGCGTGTCCCGGGGCTCTGCCGCCCTCCCCCGGCCGGCTCTGTCCCACCTCTGTGGTGTGAGGGGTAAAGGAGTTCCCCGATGTCCCTTTCGGGGGTCCCCCTTGTCCCCAAACCTCCCAGCACCTTCCCGCCGCAGGACGAGGGACACCCCCACCCTTCAGTCCCCCCCAAATCCCAAATCTCCCCGAGCTCAGCCTCCAGCAGCCTTTCATCCCTTCCTGACCCCACCTGGACGTGTCCCTGTCCCCAACACACCCCGTGTCCCCCAGACCAGTACAGGGAATACCAGTGGATCGGCTTGAACGACCGCACCATCGAGGGGGATTTCCAGTGGTCTGACGGGAGCCCCTTGGTAAGTGCCAAGCCCTGGGTGCCCTCGCAGGGGGCAGCACCCCCCTGGCACCCCATTATCCATCCCCAGCCCGGGGTCCAGCTCCCAAAGAAGAGCCGCTTGTCTCACCTGGCTGAGCACCTCCAGACCCGGGATTTGGGGTGCTCCGTGCCAAGGGGCATGAGGATGGCACCTTATTGCCGCCTGTGCCCCCAGCTCTACGAGAACTGGCACCCCGGGCAGCCCGACAGCTATTTCCTCTCCGGGGAGAACTGCGTGGTCATCGTGTGGCACGATGGGGGCCAGTGGAGCGACGTGCCCTGCAACTACCACCTGTCCTACACCTGCAAAATGGGGCTGGGTAAGCTGCAGATAACTGTCATTTCTGTAGTTTTCCCCTCTAGGATCTGACCAGCTCAGAGATATGGGGCTGTGAGGGGAGGAATTCCAGGAGAGGGAAAAGTATTCAAAAGAGGCTCTTACCCCAGGGAAGTTGGAACAGCTCTCTTTATTCTGTGGTGTCCATGGAGAGCGGGGTAAAAGAGGAAGAGCAGGAAGTTTTAGGGGTCTATATATGTTACGGTGAGCTCCTGGACACCCTTTTGTCCCCCCTTTCCTAGGGCCTCTGTGGCTCTGATCAAGATAACCCCTGAATCCTCCCTCCTGCCCCAATGGGGTTGGCGGGGAGCCAGGAGTGCCCACCCTGTCCAAAACCTATATAGACCCCTGAAAGTTCCTGCTCTTTCTCTTTTGCCCCGCTCTCCATGGACACCACAGAATAAAGAGAGCTGTTCCAACTTCCCTGGGTAAGGAGCCTCTTCTGAATACCTTTTCCCTCTCATGCTATTTCCTCCCCTCACAGCCCCATATCTCTGAGCTAGTCGGATTCTTTGGGGGGCTGCGTGGAGGGGGGGAAAACCATAGAAATAACATATATAGGTTTTGGACAGGGTGGGCTCTCCTGGCTCCCCGGGGCAGGGAGGAGGATCCAGGGTTATCATGATCAGAGCCACAGAGGCCTTAGGAAAGGGGGAAAAAAGGGTGTCCATGAGCTCACCCTAACAGATAACCAGTCCTGTGTGGCATTCCGGGCTGGGGGGGTCCCCACTGCAACCAGCCGACCCCCCACCCATCCCTGCAGTGCAGTGCGGACCCCCTCCCACCCTGAGCAACGCCCGCGCCCTCGGCAAAGCGAAGCAGCGCTACGAGATCGGCTCCACCGCCCGTTACCGCTGCCGGGCCGGGCTCGCCCCGCGCCGCTCGCCCCTCATCCGCTGCCGGGAGGACGGTACCTGGGAACCCCCGCAGCTGGCCTGTCGTCCCGGTGAGTGCCAGCCTCCCCCCGACCCCCCGAAACTCCCCGGGGTGCTCTCCCTTCACCCCGCACTTGTTGTGTCCCCCCAGGTGTGGCTCAGCCCCCCAATAACTGAGCAGCCAGAAGCTCCCCAAACGCTGGGCTGGTGTGGATGGGGACAGCACTGGCACCCCGAAAACCTCGCTGTTGGGTGTCTGCCCCCTCGTTTGTTTTCTATCTGTACAAAGAAACCTGAAAAATTAAAGATCCCTCTTGAAAGGAGCCGACAGTGCCCCAAAATGGAGTTTTGTCCCCAGAGTCACAGCAGAGCTGAAATCCAGGGGGACAGCACGGGCAGGGGTGGCAGCAATGTGCCAGCATTGCCCCCAGCCTGCTGTCATCCTGGTGGGGACATGGGGACATCCATGCAGAGCTGGGGCTCTTCTGCACTTCCCTGGAAAGCAGAAGCTGCTGCACCAGGCGTGGAGTGGGATCGTGCTGCCCAAACCCCCCTCCGGGCTTCTGTGGGTATTAAAACCAGTGAAGAGATGGCACAGATTGGTGATCTGGTTATTCAGGGGGGGCTGGCACAGGGGTGGCACCGGCAGGGCTGCACAGCCCCAAAGCACAGAGCCTGGCAGCAGTGGGGAGCCTGGGCACAGGGACACCCCCAGGAACGCCAAAAACAGGGAGAAACCACCCAAAATGTCCCCACACCCAGCAGAACTGGGCACAGGGACACCCCCAGGAGCATCAGAAACACGGAGACACCACCCAGAGCCTCAGAAACACGGAGACACCACCCAAAATGTCCCACACCCAGCAGCACTGGGCACAGAGACACCCCCAGGAACGCCAGAAACAGGGAGAAACCACTCAAAATGTCCCACACCCAGCAGCACGGGGACAGAGACACCCCCAGGAGCCCCAGAAACAGGGAGATACCACCCAAAATGTCCCACACCCAGCAGCACTGGGCACAGAGAAACCCCCAGGAGCCTCAGAAATGGGGAAACACCACCCAAAGTGTCCCACACCCAGCAGCACTGGGCACAGAGACACCCCCAGAGCATCAGAAACACGGAGACACCACCCCAAATGCCCCCCCACACCCAGAAGCACAGGCACAGAGACACCCCCAGAGCCTCAGAAACAGGGAGACACCACCCAGAGCCTCAGAAACAGGGAGAAACCACCCAAAATGTCCCACACCCAGCAGCACTGGGCACAGGGACACCCCCAGGAGCCTCAGAAACACGGAGACACCACCCCAAATGCCCCCCCAAACCCAGCAGCACTGGGTACCAGTGAGCCCTTGGGATGGGACACTGCTCCCAGCAGATAGGTGGGACTGGCAGAGCACATCACTGGTGCCAGGGCACCTCCCGTGCTGTTATTCCCTCACACTGTGGTGCCCCACAGCTTTTTATGGTTCTCCTGGGCTCTGTTGACCAGTAAAACCCCGCAGTGAAGTGGCCAGAGCACAGATAACCCCCGGGGATGGAAAGTCCCACCCAAATTCCCCTCATGGAGAGGCCAGAAATCCCGGGGGAAGGAGCCAGGAAAGCCTTTGCTTTGTGCCTTTGCCATAGAGTTTTGCTGTTGCTTTATTAATTAAGAAGGCAACTTAATTATGTTAATGGCCAGCCCGGTCCCCTGCACCTGCACAGGCAGCAGGCAGAGTCCTCGGGGCTGTGGGGAGCGAGGATGGGGTGAGGGTTCACCAGGGTGGGGACGGGCAGCCTGAGCTGGAGGGCTGCGTGAGACCCCCGTTCCTGGCCCAGCAGTGGGGTCTGGCTCCCCCAGTACTGCCAAACACCCCACAGGGGGTCCCAAACACCACAAAAAGGAGTCCCAAACACCCCTCGAGTCCCAAACACCCCAAAATGAGTCCCAAACACCCCAAAAAGAGTCCCAAACATCCCAAACACCCCAAACACCCCAAACACCCCAAAAAGGAGTCCCAAACACCCCACAACACCCATAACACCCCAAAAAGAGTCCCAAACACCCCACAACACCTCACACACCCCAAAAAGAGTCCCAAACACCCCACAACACCCCAAACACCCCAAACACCTCAAACACCCCAAACACCCCAAAAAGGAGTCCCAAACACCCCAAAAAGGAGTCCCAAATACCCCACAAGGAGTCCCAAACACCCCAAAAAGGAGTCCCAAGCACCCCAAAAAGCAGTCCCAAACACCCCAAAAGGAGTCCCAAACACTCCACAAGGTGTCCCAAACACCCCAAAAAGGAGTCCCAAACACCCCACAAGGAGTCCCAAACACCCTAAAAGGTGTCCAAACACCCTACAAGGAGTCCCAAACGCCCCAAAATGTGTCTGAAACACCCCAAAAAGAGTCCCAAACACCCCACAAGGAGTCCCAAACGCCCCAAAAGGTGTCCAAAACACCCCACGAGGTGTCCGAAACACCCATGAGGTGTCCGAAACACCCCTCGAGTCCCAAACACCCCAAAAATGAGTCCCAAACACCCTACAAGGAGTCCCAAACACACCACAAGGTGTCCCAAACACCCCAAACACTCCACAAGGAGTCCCAAATACCCCAAAAAGGAGTCCCAAACACCCCACAAGGTGTCCCAAACACCCCAAAAGGTCTCCCAAACGCCCCAAAAAGAGTCCCAAACACCCCAATAGGTGTCTAAAACACTCCACAAGGAGTCCCAAACACCCTAAAATGCGTCCCAAACACCCCAAAAAGGAGTCCCAAACACACCACAAGGTGTCCCAAATACCCCAAAAGGTGTCCAAAACACCCCAAAAAGAGTCCCAAACACCCCTCGAGTTCCAAACACCCCACAAGGTCTCCCAAACACCCCAAAAGGTGTCCAAAACACCCCAAAAAGAGTCCCAAACACCCCAAAATGAGTCCCAAACCCCCCACAAGCCTCATGGGGTTGCACATGGGCACCTGCTCCCCCAGGGGATGCCCCAAGAACCCAGACCCAGCTCCACCAGAGGATGCTGGAGCCCCCAGAACCGCCGGGACACCATCCTCCTCCTCGCCCGCCTCCAGCTCTGTGCCCCGGGGATGAGGACTGGCTGTCCCCTGCTGTCCCCCACGCTCAGCCCGTCCTCCTCACTGGCCCACGAAGCAGTAGGTGCCGTAGCTCCTCATCTCCTTGCTGGGGAAGCCGAAGCTGCGCACGCCGGGCTGGGGCAGGCCGCCGCAGCGCTGCCGGGGCGCGGTGATGGGGTAGCGGACGCTGCCGTCCTCCAGCCACCCCCCGTCACAGCGATCCAGCTGAGAGAACTTCCAGGCCGAGTAGAGCTGCCCCACTTTGGCCAGGACAGCGCCGTGGTTGCGACAAGCCTGTGCTGCCTCCTTGAAGTTCAGGTGGCCGCGGATGAAGTAGACGCGGCCTAGGGGACGAAGCGGGGACACCGCAGGTGAGGCCTGGGTGGGCAGCAGAGCTGGGTGGTGCTGTCAGAAGGATGGGGCAGTACCTTGAAGAGCAGAGGTGAAGCAGAAAGCGTCGAATCGATCCTTCTGCTTGTCCCTGGCGCCGTAGGTGCGCACACCGGGCAGGAGCAGGCGGCCGCCGCACGGCTCCCGCGCGTTGATGATGGGGTAGTGCACGGTCCCGTCCAGCGTCCAGCCGGCGTTGCACCAGTCCAGACCCTCCGTCCAGGCTGTGGGGCGAGAGGCAGCTCGGCAGCGGCATTCCCCTCCTCGCCATCCCCACACAGGCATAGTTTGGGGCAGAAGGGAGTTCTTTTGGGCACCCTTCACCTTTGTACAGCTGCTGGTAGGTGGCGAGGCGGGAGTCCTGCTGCTCGCAGGCTCGCTTGGCTTCGTGGTAGTTGAATTTGTAGCGCCCGTTGCTGGGCTGGTAAGGGAAGACGACGCCTGGAGGGACGGAGAGGGGGTGAGGGCACGGAGGCTTTGACACATCGCCCCATGTGGGAATCCAGAGCTTCCCTCTGGCTGCCCTGGGACCCTGGCAGGGGTCAGGAACCCCCCTGGACAGAGCCCCCAGAGACACTGGCTGTGATCTCTGGCCATGGAAAGAGTTTTCAATCTCACAGGGTGAATTACAAGCTCTGAGTGTTTGATATAAGCAATAATTAAGTGTGGCATGGGTGCAAAAGTAAAATTTTAGGATTCTAGATTAGGGGTCCAAAGGGGACAAGATGGAGGAAATTGGGTGTATCTTGTCCTTTTTCTCCTTCTTCATGCCCTCATGTTTCACTGTGGTGTTGGCATTTTCTGTTGGTTCAGGCTGGGGACACACTGTCCAACGTAGGTGACAGATATTGGCACGTATTGTAAATCCAGCACAGGTAGTTTGTGGTATTTAATGTTTGTACCATCCCACTGAGGGCAGAGCCCCACACGCTGCCCTGCAGGACAGAGCTGCGGCAGGGCAGCAGAACATGTTAGAGATAAACAGAATAAACAACCTGAAACAGCACAGACGAATTATGGCTTCTTCTTTGGCAGCGGGGCAGAAAGACAGAGACTTTCTACAATCTCGGAATCACCAATACCCACAGATTCCGACAGCCCCAGAGGATTCAGCGCTAAATTTAAGGCTGGGAACAGGCCCATGCAATGGAGGCACCGAGCCCCCATTCCAGCTGAGCTACATCCCCCAGCTCACCCTCAAGGTGCAGCGTGAGCGAGATGCTCTCGTCCTCCAGGCCGTTGACGAGCTGGCAGCGGTAGCGTCCCTCGTCCTCCAGCGCCACGTCGCTGATGGTGAGCGAGGCGTCGTAGCGGTGGCCGTGCCTCAGGCGCACCCGCGGGCCCAGCGGCCCGTAGTTCTTGTGCAGCAGCCCGTTGGTGATGATGATGATGCTCTCGCCGTAGTTGGCCGGCTCCACCTTGCTCCACTTGACGCGGTAGTTGTGGGGCAGCGCGCGCAGCACGCAGGGCAGCGTGGCCGTGGCACCGCGCCGCGTGTGCACAGTGGGGTGCAGGGGCTCCAGCAGGTACTGCAGCTGCAGTGGGGCTGCAGCCCCCCGGGCAGCCTCAGCACCACCTCTCCGACACCCCCATGAGCGCCCTCAACCCCCACCAGCGTCTGGTGGTTTCTCTGATCCATCCTGGCTCCTCTCTCCTGCACCTTCAGGAGGCACAGCTCCGCTCCTGCCCTGCTGGACCACCCAGCACCACCTCCCCTCTCCAGCACCGACTCCAAACAGCCCCTGCTCCCCACATCTGCCCCCCAGCCCCTGCTCCCTACCTGGGGTCCCCGTTGGCCGCTGGAAGATGCTGGAGCCCGGGGGAGCTGCCAGGAGCCAGAGGCAGCCGAGCAGGAGCAGCCTGTGCATCCTCAGAGCCGGGGGCAGGACGGAGCCTGGGGGCAGCGCAGGGCTCAGGGGGGTTCAGGGGGGCCTGCAGGGTGTGGCTGTGCTCTGTTGTGCAGAGGGGACAGCGACACCCCACAGGCTGTGCCACCCCTCCTTCCTGGCACCCCCCCAGTCTCTTACCGTCCCCAGACAGGTCCTTCGGGGCGCCGCCGTGCCCACCCAACGCGCCCTGCCCGCGGGCTGCCCCAGCTCCTGCTGCTTCCCTTCTCCGTCATGAACACCCCATGGTGTCCACGAGGCAGGGGGGACACGGGGACACGGGGACACGGCAGGTGGCAGCAGGTGCTCCCGGCCAGCCCCTCGCTGTCACCGTGCTGGGGTGGGCAGTGTCCTGCCAGCCCCACAGCCCCACAGGCCCGTGGTGCCCGCTCCCATGGTGCCAGCCGTGCCCTCCTCCCTGCCCTGTCACTCTCTTCCTGCTTTCTTCTCTCCTTTTTTTTTCCCCCCTCCAACACCTCCCCGAGGAGCGCACGGGGAGGAGGAAGCACAATTTCCCATTGTGAGTGTCTTTCTCTTTATTGTTCTGCTCGGCAAAACACAGTGTGCCCGGGTAACAAACATCCCTTTATCTGCAGGCCACGGCTTTGGGAATTCAGGGAAAATGACAGTTCTGCATCGGGCTCCAGCAGCCCCTTGGGCTGCAAACCCCCCCTTAGTGCTGGCCCCAGGGCTGGGACGGGGCTCTCTGATCCCACAGACAGCAGGGCAAGGGTTAATTTTATTCCCCTCTCCCCATCCCTGGTGAAGGGATGATGTCCCCACCCCTGGAGGCTCTGGAGGGTTGTGCAAAGGGGCTGTCCCATCCCACTGGATTTATCCTGCCCCCCAAAAAGGCATCGGAGAGGCTTCCCCATCACCCCCTGGAGCGAAGTACAGGCGCACAATGGTGCTGTGTTCTGCACTGCCACAACTTCTTCCTCCCCCAGGGTCCATCTCCAAGGGTGGAGGAAGCACAAGACAAGCAGTGAGTGTCCCCAGCACCTCCCTGGCCTCACCATGGCACACACACCACAGCAAACACCCCCCAGGGGAGAAGCATCCAGGTGCCCTCATCCCCCACCTGCTCCCCACTGCTTCCAGCCTCTTTTCAAGAAGGGACACCAATTCTGGTGCCAGCAGGCTGCACTGGAAGCCCTCAGAATGGTCAGAGCTTTGGCTCGTTGTGATGAGCACAAGGTGCCCATAGCTTTGCTCTCCCCGGACTGAGGGAGGCCAAAGTGGAGCAGCAGCACTTCAGGCTCCCCCCTCGCAGCTCCCCACGGTTCTCGGGTGGGTCTGAGGCTCTTCAGAGAGCCTCATCTCCCTCCCTCACACTTCCCGTGGGCTGCAGAAGCACATCCTGTTCTCCTTCGCTGCAGGATGCTTCTTCCCAGCTCTGCGTTATCACAAACGAGCTGTTTCTCACATTTTTCCCAAGTGAAGGCACCAGCTACAGTCCCCAGCCCTCACAAAACCACAGCCCGAAGCAGAACACTTGCAGAGGCTCCCAAAAGTGACTCACCCCCCTTCCCCATCCCATTAGCATCAGGGCATGACCCCAGCCCACCACCGCTTCTCTGAGTTCAGAGCTTGGCCCGGTGCCGTGGGAAGGAGTCACCCAAGTCACTTCCCAGATATACACTGCGTTCCTTCTCTGCTCCTTGTCTCTTTTCTCCCTTTTTGGGATCTGCACCCACTCTACAAACACCTCTGCAGCTGCACCACGGGCAGCCAAAAAAAAGCCAAGGAGCCCCTTGTGCTCAGCTCCACCAGGAGCCTCTGACTCTGCTGTTCTTCAAAGCTCAGCTTCTCCTTCTCCCCTCTCGACCCCACAGCAAACCTCACCCCCAAAGCCCCCTGAAAACTCGTTTTTCCTTCTGATCAGGGAATTTGAGCCTCGCTTTGTGGGACTTTGCTGAGCCAGCACCTCCACAGCAGGTCAGTCCCACCACATCACCCTCCACTTCCTCTGCCTGACCCAGCCCCAAAACCACAGCGTTTCTGCAGTGCAGAGGCAGAACCCTCACGCTTCCCCTCCCACAACTCCTGCCTCACCCCAAATCCGCCCCCCACCCCAGCAGAGAGGGACACTGACCCCACACAGCCCACACACTTCCCGGCACAGCGCCTGGAGCCACCTGATGTGGCAACGCCAGGTGTGTGGAGGTGTGCCAGGGCATCCATCCCTGAGTTTCCGTGTTGGCAGCGCTCCCTCCGAGGCGCTGGCAGCCAGCCTGGCAGGAGGAGTTTGCAGCCCTTTGCAGGGTTTCACCTGGCCCTGCTGCCCCCCGACATGCCGGAGCACACAGCCGCCTCCAGGCTCCGTCTCTCCGGGCTGTGCTTCCTCCTGCAAACCCTCATCATCCTCCTCTTCGCCGTGCTGGCGCGGTACAGCCCCGGGGGCAGCCCCAGCCCGTGCCCCCCGCAGCTGAACTGCAGCCACAGGAGCCAGGACTCGGCTTTCCAGCAGCCCCGTGAGTACCCCCGTGGCCGTGGGGGCAAAGAGCCCTTCTCCGAGGGGATGGCACCGGGTGGCACCGCTCAGACCTGTCACAGCCTCCGGAGTCACCGGCGAGGGGACGTGGAGCTGCAGGGTTGGGTACTGCTGCTTCCCAGAGTGGGCAAAGCAGAGGTGCTGGAGGGATTTCTGCAATGCCACCCCCCAAAAAAAAGGATATTTGGGTGTGGGATATGTGTTAGAGCAGTGGAGCTCGGGAGGGATCACTGAGTGCAGTGAAAAATTGGGGATCCCACCTGGAAGGGAGCGTGGCAGCTGCTCTGGCTCTTTCTGCAGAGCTTCCCACGGAGCAGAGGGGCTTTGCAGGGTGGGGGGCTTCACCCCGAGCCCCTTCCAGGGAGGGTTTGGCTCCCTGGCTGCGACCCAGGGTTCAGCAGGGTCTGGGGTCTGCCCTGCAGGGGCTGCCCCTCGCTTTTCTGAGCCACAAAGGTGGGCGATGGGGCGGGAGCGAGTGGAGCCGCCGGGCAGGGAGCTGGCAGCTGGCAGGCGGCAGGTTTGCCCGGTTTGTGCCCACGGAACCCCACCCAGGCCGTGACTCAGTGTGTGCCATGCCACAGCTGTCACTGCAGGGTGCGAGGAGCATCCACCCAAGCAAGAATCAACCCCCTATCATTTGTTTTGCCACCAAATGGTACCAGAGCGATCACAATTCTCTGTTCACCCTCTCATGAACTGGAATGTGATGTTTTCAGGGGCAGCAGTGAGGTCCCAGTGGTGCTGATCTCTCAGAGCCACTTTCACGCTGCTCTGGTGGGTGCAGACAGCTCTTGGCCACGCCAAGAGGTTTTTGTGCTGAGGGGTGAATGTCCTGAGGTACCCACACTGGGCAGTTGCAGATGGGGTGGCCAAGAGCTGCTGCAAAGAGTCACATCAGGCTGGGATGGTTTTACCTCTCCTGGCACTCCCCACTGCAGATCTCCAAGGATCTTCCACGTGGCTCCATTGAGTGGAGCGAGCCTTCATCTCCCCTGTTGGAATCTGTGGGTATTGGTGATTCCCAGATTGTAGAAAGTCTCTGTCTTTCTGCCCCGTTGCCAAAGCAGAAGCCATAATTGGTCTGTGCTGTTTTTAAGGTTGTTTATTCTGTTTATCTCTAACATGTTCTGCTGCCCTGCCGCAGCTCTGTCCTGCAGGGCAGCGTGTGGGGCTCTGCCCTCAGTGGGATGGTACAAACATTAAATACCAGAAACTACCTGTGCTGGATTTACAATAACGTGCCAATATCTGTCACCTACGTTGGACAGTGTGTCCCCAGCATAAACCAACAGAAAAATGCCAACACCACAGTGAAACATGGAGGGCATGAAGAAGGAGAAAAAGGACAAGGCACACCCAATTCCTCCATCTTGTCCCCTTTGAACCCCTAATCTAGAATCCTAAAATTTTACTTTTGCACCCGTGTCACACTTAATTATTACTCTTATCAAACACTCAAAGCTTGTAATTCATCCTGTAAGATTGAAAACTCTTTTCCATGGACAGAGATCACAGACAGTGTCTCTGGGGGCTCTGTCCAGGGGGGTTCCTGACCCCTGCCAGGGTCCCAGGGCAGCCAGAGGGAAGCCCTGGATTCCCACACTCCCCAAAGCTGTTAGAGCAGGGGTGTCTTAGCCCTGTCTGAGCCCCCCAGGGACCAGCAGGAGGGTGGCTGCCTGCCCTCAGCACCTCCCCGTGCCTCTCCTTCCTCCAGCAGGATTTCAGGATGCCCATGTCCAGGTGCTCCTCAGCTTTGGGCTCCTGCTGGCGCTCCTCAGCCGCTCCGGGCCGGGCAGTGTGGCCATCAGCATCCTCGTCACAGCCTTCGCCATCCAGTGGGCTGTTCTGATCCAGGGCTTCTTTTACTTCTTCCTCAACGGCAAAATTTCCGTGGGAGCTCAGAGGTAAGGCAGGAGGGAGCCCCAGGCAGCTCAGCCCAGCCCAGCCCAGCCCGGCACACGGGCTCCCTCCTCTGTAAAACTCACGCCTCTGCTTTGGAGGAGGGTTTTGGAGATGGGTTTGTTTGAGTGCTGCCCTGGCAAGGGCTGTGTAAGCACTGCCAAGGAATTTGGGGGGCACTCTGGCCCCCGCCTGCCTCCAGCCCAGCCATCCCTGTGCCAGCAGCATCTCCAGGCTCTGCCTGCTCAGCTCCTGCTCCTGCTCCTCCCAGCTCATCCCTGGGCATCTGTGGGATTAAAGTCTCACCCTTTTCCTCTCCTTCCCAGCATGGTCAGCGCTGATTTCTGCACCGCAGCTGTGCTGATCTCCAGCGGGGCTGTTCTAGGCAGGGTGAGCCCTGTCCAGATGCTGCTGCTGGTCCTGCTGGAAGTCCCCCTGTGCACTCTCCATGAATTCATCCTGCTCAGTCTCATGGGGGTGAGTCACTGGGCAGGTTGGGGCTCCCCAGGTTGGGTTCTGCCTCATCTGGAGGGACAAATCCCTCACCCCACTCCCTGCACGGTGCTTGTCCACCCTCCCTAGGTGAGAGACAGCGGGCGCTCCTTGACCGTCCACACCTTTGGGGCCTATTTCGGCCTGATGGTTTCACGGGTCCTGTACCAGCCCCACAAGGACAGGAGGAAGAGGGAAGAGCAGCGGGATAAGGGGCACCAGACAGATGTCTTTGCTGTGGTTGGTATGGAGCTCGGACCCTGCAGCTCCCAGAGCTGCTGGTGGAAGGGTCATCACCAGCATGAGGCTGTGGCTTTCACCAGGAGGTTGCTGCAGACCATCGAGGACAGATGTCCTCCACCTCCCCAGGGACCACCCTCTGCTAGAAAAAGCTTTTCCTTGTGTTCTACCTGAACCTCGCTGTGGCCTCGTGCATCTCTTGGCCCTCACGAGAAATTTCTGTCCCACAAGGGATCAAGTCCAGCACCAAGGTCTCTTCTACTCCCTGCAGGAACCATCTACCTGTGGATCTTCTGGCCCAGCTTCACCTCCAGCACC